AATACATTTTTAAACGTTCACCTATATTCTTTCATGCAATTCCGAAGACGAAGTTATTCTATTTTGCGCATACAAACTGCAAAACTTTTATATTAAGCAAATATTGTTATGACCTGACGCAAAAAGCCAGTAAAAAAACTTTAATTTTTTAGCTTTTCTTCGTTTTTAACATAAACTCGTAAAGTCTCATCTTTGTTTCGATGTGCACTTTAATCGTGGAAAAGGATTTATTATTCTATTCAACTAAAAAAAAGATTTCAATGTGCAAAATAATAATTTTTGGTCGGTAAAACAGACGAGCTTTTGGATCCCCTTAATCAATAGATACATAAATTTTTTTTTTCCGCAAAGTAATTATAAAACTCGCGCTTTAATTTAACAAGTGTCTTATAAATTCGCAAGTGTTAATATAGTTCAATCGCAATTTGCTCTTCGAGCCCTTTTTATGTTCTATTAAAAAATTTATTATAATTATAATTATAAAGTAATTTAAAATTAAAATTATTAAAAATTTACAACCTGCATAAATTTCTTTAGAAATAATAATCGAATCTTACAAGATATTTCTATAAGGTATCAGGAAATTGAAACGACAGTTTATATTGCGAGTTTATTAATTATTAATATTATTATACTTAATATATTTATAACATATATGTATGTGTGTGTACATATATGTATATATACACGCGTATCCGACACGTACACCTTCACATGCATGCATAAAAAGACTCGCATCACGCACGCACTCGCAACTCAAAATTTGTCGGGACATGCGTGTATATACACAAGACACCCTGTACGTTACGATACAACCGCAATATGTTTAAATAAGATACATACAAAGAATTGTATATTAGCTCAAACAAGATAAGCCGTACTATCGATAGAGATTGATTCGTCATACGTAGGCATCTTTATATCAATTTTTTTTCATCATTCTTCTTACTAGATTATCTTTCTTTGTACCGTTCCGGCACACCGCTCGGTTGTACCGTCTTTCACAGAATATCCTGCAGAACGAATATACATATATGTATACGCGCGACTGTATGTATGTATGTCTGTACGCAATCAAATCGGCTTTCTTTCGAGAAGGCCGCTCCGACCCTTCATAATTTATATGAAAAGCGTAATAACACATGTATACTGCATTGTTAACGGAACACCTATTTTTGTCTGCAATACGAATTCTATGAGATGTCGATCTAACATTGGCGAGTAACATTCCTTCACGAGTAAACTATCGAATTAAATCCGGCCTAGAAGAGACGAGTAACGAGATGATAGACAACACTTCGTTGATCGATCTCTTTCTCTTTCTCTCTCTCTCTCGCTCTCTCGCTCTGCGGAATCTCATCCAATTCGCAATTTTGTTACATAAGACAACTCCGTCACAAGTTTCACTTTCAGTGTGTGTATGTGTATGTACTTATGTTTCTGGTAGTGTACTGTTACACACCACCGTATTCTATGCGATTTATTCTTCTAAAGCTTACGATAACTCAGTTTTATTAAAACGTCTTCAACTAGCGCAGCTGATATCGACGGGTTAATTGCAACGTCTAAAAGCAAGGGGAAAAAGGGGGAGGGAGGTTTGGCGTCGTGTGTGAACTTTTCCTACTCTTCGCAAAGAAGACCAACCAGTCCCGCCAGTTATGCATATATCTGCGTAATAATAGGCTTAGAACAATTTTCGAATTTTATAAAAATTGCAAATCCACGATATATTTTCACGATTTTTTTCTTACGTCTAGAAACTTTGCAGATTCTGTCATTTAGTTCTTATTGAATGTTCAAAGATTTCGGATAGAGATAAAACATTTAAAATAGAAGATAATATTTTTTTTTTATACCACACACAGAAGGCGCAAACGGAAGAGAGAGTTTACACATATGTATGAGTACTTTTTAAATTAAAAACAGTTCACGAATTCGGTATTCGACAGTCTGTGACCAATAGAAAATGTTAGAATATAAGTAAGAATATCTTGTAAATTACAATGCATAGATTTCAAAAAATCGAGAATTTGATAGAATTTAGAATGAGCAAATAAAACATACATTGCTAAAATTTGTAAACGTACTGAGAAATGATAGAATTTATATAATATTTAAGAGAACCCCAAAACAATAAATATAAATAAATTTCGTCGTCACATAATATTAGGAAAAATTATTATAAATACTAGTTAAACTATATATATCGCAAAAAGGAACTGACCCCTATACGTATTTGGCTTGTCAGCATCTGAAATATATAATACAAAACAGAATAAATTTTGACAGAGAGATAACATGCAAATCTATATCAACAAAATTAAAATTTAAAAAGTTTATACATTTTTACACAAGCTCGCGATTCTCGCTTAATTAAGATAATATATCTAATATCAAGAAATTTTTTCTGACAAAAAAAAATACCAATTATATATTTAACTGAATATATTATTTAACTGAGAATAAAAGATAACGTTCCCACAATTTACTCTTTTCTTCTACTAATATTTTACCGACATTTTAATATCAGAAATAACATACATATGAATAGATTTTGAGAATTCTCACTCTCTTTCTCTCTCTTCGGAATCAGCGACAAAAGTATATATTTTCTTGCCTACACTAAAAAATTTCACATTACTCCGATAAAATACGATATTAATGCAGTACAACCAGAACTATAGGTACCAACGATGCTTTTTTTTCAAACGATTTAAAATAGGCTGCCAATCTCCGTACGCTAAAAAGATCGGCGAGCAGTGTAATGTCGCATTAGGCTCTGGAGAAAAAGAAATGAATTATATATACAGTTTCTATACGGCTCCTCGGCGACTTGTTCGTTAGATCAACCGAGCTAACGTCAGAATCGATCTATTATACCCTGCCTACTCGTTGCTATCGTGAGGAACACAAGAGGCGTCATTCAAGCCACCCCGTCGCGCTTTGTGCGATACATGCAAAACATGCGTGAAAGGATAACCGCATCTTAGCTCTGTCTCAGTTTTGCAAAATCAATCTCAGCGTAGGTGAAGTTCTCTTGCGTGGACGCTGGCGATACGGGTGTCGGATTACCAATCTCTGGTAGATCAAGACGAGCGTAATGCAGAATCGTCGCGCCCGGTTGAAGCTTCTCGTACCCCTCGCTGTCCAACGGACTCGGCGTAGGCGTGGGCGTAGACGTGGGCGTAGGCGTGGGAGTCTCATCGATAAACTTGGGCGAGGATGGTTTCGGCTGTTGCACAGTCGACGGCTTGAAACCTGTCAAAGTGGGGCTGGTGTTTGGCGAGGCCGTAACAAGACGCGGTTTCGACACCGTTAGATCCGACAGTTTTTTCGTTATGTTACCGAGCATACCGTATTCCGTGTGCGCTCGTATAGCATTTTTTCCTACAGAACTAGGCGGCTTCTCGTTATTGGTATTCGACTTCAACATCTCCATTGATGGAGTAGAATACGACGTGGAAAGCGATATCGAAGAATTTACAGTCTTTGCGGATTCCAACACCGCATAGTCATTATTCTTGTTTTGTTTAGAAACGTCCGCCGTGGAGAACTCGTCGCTTTTCTTCGTGAAAGGCTTCACGGGTGATTGAGGACTGTTCAGAGAAAAGGGAAAGATTGTGGCCGATGAACCCGTCGGCGTTGCTCGCGGCGGTGAGGCCGGTGTGCTCGCCAAACTTTCGGACATCGGGCTTCCGTTCAAGGGTAAAAAGCTAGGGGTTTTCGATTGCTTACTACCCGCCTGAATTGCGATCGGTTGCGATCGCGATTTCTCCTTACGACTGCCCGTCCTCGTTTTACGATTATTCCGATTGTTTGCACCCATGCTCATATTTATGTAGTCTTGATCTAGAGTCGGTCGTGCTTTAAAAGACATGTCGACGTATCCCTCCGGAGGACGCCTCGGTTGCGGAAGATCTACCGGTGCTGTTCTCGTGCTACCTAAACATTCGTCGTAATTTTTACAATTATTATTATTTTTTTTTCTTTCTTTTATTCCAATATATAATACAATGTTATAAATAATAACTTTTTCGTAATTCGTAAAATTTCGTAACGAAGAAATCTAACTTATAGCGTGAATTTACCTGGTGGTCCATTTGTATGATAGATATCCTCTTGTATAGGCGATGACACTTGCTTCGGACTCGCGTCCGAATGCGCCCAATCCTCTGTCGTACCATCCATTTTCATATAAGGTCCCTCCGCTTCCTCCACTGGCTTTAAAGTCGTAATTATAGGTTTATGAGCAAAAGCTAACGATGATATATGCATGTGGCTATGATTGTGGTTGGCAGTGATCGTATTATTATTGTTATTGCGATTGATCTGAAAAAAAAGATATCTTTGTATCACTTCATATGGCTAAATACGATAATTTTATCGACGAAACGGAAATATCGATATATTGACTATACCTTATTTATGCCACTCATATCGACATATGGGGCAGTGGTCGATACGGGAGCTTGTCCGGGCGACATGTCGACATAGGAACTAGTATCAGTGGCAGTAGAGTACGATTGCGGCTGCGACTGAGGCTGAGAACAGGATGACGGCGGCGAGGAGAGAGCGGTTGGAGCACTGGATTTCGTAAAATCCAATTCCATGAGATCCTCCATTCGTGAATTGTGCCCCCAGGAGCTCGATAACAACGGTGCGGAGCTCGACTTAGAGTTCGAGCTATCCGAACCGGCTGGTAACGGCGCGGTGATTATATTGGCCAGTCTCCCAATCTCAGGCCTCTTGGAACGACTACCTACAGAAAACGCTCGCACTCTATTGGCGTCTTGCGGAGTGATATCCAATCTGTATATAAAGAAAAACATAACGCGTTATATTTTTTCTCTATATTTCTAATCAGTGGCAGATCTATAGAATATCCGAAATTTATTTTTTAAAATTTGAATTTAACAAGTTTATCTTTTATTAAACACTCGATACATTCTCTCAAATCACTATATATTTCGATATTAAATTTCCCAAAACGTTTGATGTCTCACCTAATGCGTCAATAATGTATACCATACACAGTTGAAATATTTTAAATCAATATTTGGTTATATAAATCTTAAATGTGAAACTCATACGTACCTGTTAAATTTATTTTTTAAAATTTGAATTTAACAAGTTTATCTTTTATTAAACACTCGATACATTCTCTCAAATCACTATATATTTCGATATTAAATTTCCCAAAACGTTTGATGTTGCAGTTGAAATATTTTAAATCAATATTTGGTTATATAAATCTTAAATGTGAAACTCGTACGTACCTGTTTTTACGATGCCTGTTTGCCTGTTCCGGTCTAGACCCAACAGAATAAGCTCTAGTCGGTCTGGCTTGCAGATCTTCTCCGGGTGTCAGAAAACTGGTCACCTTATCCAAATGATATTCGGAAAATCGCAGGTCCGTGCTAGGAGTGCCGGATGTTACAGAACAGCTACTGCCGTCATTCTGCGACATATCGTCCGGGAAGTGACCGTTATGACTATTTACAGGATCCATGTCGACGTAACCGTCGTCGCCAACTGGCGCCATCGGCACGTAACCTTCCACGTTGCTCTCTTCCACGAGGGATGATCCACGGGAATGCGAATGGACTGTCGTTGCTGGACTCATGGGCATGTACGCACCACCGCGGCCAGGACTCGAACCACAAGGACTGTACATTTCACTCTGATAGGAACTCTGCGACAAGACGATAAGTTAGAGATATTCGTCGATACACTCATTGACCCCCACCCATCCAAAGATATGAAAACCATTTTATTTCAGTGAAATATTTTGATTTTTTATTTAGAGATGATACGAATCCGATAAAGACAAAAAATGTATTTATTAGTGTATCGCTCATAATTATTTCATCATAAAAAAATCTACTACGAAAGAGAATCAAATTTTATTACACAGTAGCAATTGTACAAAATAAAAAATGGTTTATACTTGATTGACAAGCGGTTATGTACAAATACACGCTCACCTGAGAGGGCGAATGAGATTTAAAGTTTGGCGAGTATTTCAAATGCGGATGCGACGTCGACCAGTAGATGTAGTCGTCGCCCTTCTTATCCAGGATCACGGGCTCGTCGGGAGTCAACGAGTGCCCGTATCGCGAGACGGTGCTCTCTTCCAGGATATTCTCACCGCAATCTTCCATGGAGGGCGACGATCCGGCCGAGTCCGATGAGCACACGTCGGAACCGGGACTGATGGGCATCGAAGCGACCGGCGGGGAGTACGATGTACGTCCACACATGGAATGTGGTCGCGGAACATGAGGAATGGCATGAGTCCCTCGGAGATTGTTCAACCCCGTAACCGTGGCCATCGGTTGTCCCTCGCTGTTGGTGCGAGCTCTCGATGGCAAACTGTCGCATCGTTCGCGCCCGGTGTTACCTGTAAATGTACTCATCAGTATCTCCTAGCGGTAACTCGCTCGCGTGCACGTATAGTAGAAAAAAAAAGAAGAAGCCAAGTTTCATCGTCCCAGCATAGCAGCGGTGGTTAGTTTTTCATATGTTTACATATATAAATTACTATACGACATACAACATATCGAAAGATTGTTTGCTGTTAAGTATAATATGTATTCTCTCGAGAATCAAGCAATCGATAGAGATCACGTGGTGATCATCTCGTTAAATATCCCGCATTTGTAGAACTGTTATGTGAAAATAAATAGGTGAAGAGCATACCAAAAGAAATTATAGTAATTAGTTTCCGCGGCGATTGACACCCAAATATCAACAATGTTGCGCATCCATATAAAATGTATCCATTCTTTTTAAATTCCGATAATGTGAATAAATAAAAAATGCAAACCAAAGCTTCGTAAATATATCGTGCATTTAATAGCATGCCACCACAGCAAAACTGTCCACTCGTAAGTATTACTGCGAGTTTATATTAAATAAATTTAACATCGATCGATCGGATTTTATACACCTTGAAAATATTGCGGGAAAAGGATCAAGATAACGAAAAGAGCATAACAAGCATATTACAGGAACATCGAGGAATTCAAACAGACTCGGCTCGATTATAAACAAATATGACGGAACGAAATACATACACCGTAAAACGGATCTTTTAGATGGTTGCGTTTGACTGATAATAACAGCAGCTAAGGGCAGCGACAGGGTTCTCTGATGGGATATTGTCGCGGTTGTGGTCATTGCGGTGATGGTGATGGTGGTGTTGATGGTAGTGGTGGTGATGGTAGTGGTGGTTGCGGTGATGGTGGTGGTAGTGACAGTGGTGGTGATCGCGTTTGTTGTTGCTGCTGTTGTGACATGAGCGGATTGGGAATTATTGATGGAATGAGGATGACTCGCTACCGAATGACGACGTCTAGTGGTACCGCCACTGTTGGCATTAGTCGTCACGTGCCCAGTAGTCCCAGCCCCGGTACCAGCAACGGCTGCAAACCACACATCTCTCACTATCACACAACTGTCTGTTTTGTCTTACGCGCATCTCGCGCCGCATCTCTCGACGAATACGACACGGATTTATGTTAATCGTGTTGTTAAGCGCATGAATCTTTTACGCAATGACGCGTTCTATTTTAAAAATCTTTCAATTAGACGCATGACTTTAATATGTTGAATTGCAATAAAACACGTGTCGATAACATCAAAAAATGATAATAAAGCGCATACTGATTGAGTTATCTTTCTTTCTTTCTTCATTATTTCAACAAATTGTTATATATATATATTATTTATGATATCTGATACATCGAATAATTTATAAATTCCAGATAATTCATTGACTGTATTAGTCATGCTATTTACATCATGAAACTGACATTCGGAGAACGATGCATAATTATCGCGTATGTCGGCCCAGATTTTCCCTTCTAACACGATTAAACATTGCATTTATATAAAAATTTATATAAAAGTCTATCTACAACTCATGATAAAAAATTTGCTCTGTTTTAAATATATTTAATATCAATATTAATTATAAAAGTTATTAAGAAAATATCTTTTACATATCTTTTATATATTAAACACTTAATAATTTTTTTTTAATCCTGCGCTCATTATTTTATCATATAACAATTGTGATCTCACAATTTCAATCAATTATGTATATATTGCAACTGTATATACGATATAGATGCAAAATCTAGTATCTCAAAATTATATAAAGTGAGAAATGCAATGATCAAGTCTTTAGTTCTATATTCCATGAAATGAAATAAAAAGTCGAAGAAAAATAAATGGCATGTTTACACACTACTCTTATATATCCTCTTTGCCATTCAAAAATCCATAGAACGTGAAAGGAGGAAAGCAGATAACTACTATGATAGATCTGTGACTGTATTGGTGAAAAAGGTATTCCGAGATTGATTACAGTGTATAGGAAAATAGAAAATAGCGATCTGCTCTTGCAACGGTTCCACTTGCTCCTTGTATGTTCTCTATAAACACCGTAAACTCACTTTATTACTCTAAAGCCGAGCTCTTTGTGTACACACGACAAGATTTACCCGGTTCTTTATATAATTTAACATATGCATGTACAGTTATGGTAATAACAATGTGTTAAGAATTGTGTATGAAATTAATGTTTGAATAAAACTTACTTGTGTAAAACGGATTTATGGATAGACGCGAATAATTTGTCCATTCAAACAAACTAAAAGCCAATATATCTCTTTGATGAAGTCTGACTTATAGATGGACATATAATAATTGATGTTTTTCAAGCATACGTAAAAATCACATTACGATAAGTATAAATAAATAGTAGTAGGAGAAACTCTTTATAATGACCAATAACCCACACATCCTGGAGTAAATCACATTGGATAAACTATGTATATGTACAAGAAAAACGGACTCACACAAAATCATAGCTTACCCATAGGCGAATAGCTATAACCGAATTTCTGACCCGTATGCCGTCGTTGGAGAACGGATATAGGTTTGCTGGCTTCATTGGCGGAGGAACTTCTCTGACGAGGTTCCATCTCGTTATCCTTGTCCTTGTTATCTTTCTCCTTGTTATCCTTGTCCTTGTTATCCTTGTCCTTGTTATCCTTTTCCTTGTTATCCTTGTCCTTGTTTTCTAATAACCTTAACTTCCACCTTGTCTTGGAAGTCTTCATTGCGGTCGTTATTACATCGTTCATGTTTAACGCGATATTGTTATCTTCGACTGCCATCCAGAATTCACCGTCTCCGGTTACGGCAGATCGGCCAACTTCTATGTAGAATATATCATCCGCGAATCCACATCGTCTAATGTAATTTAGCTGCAAGGATAGAGAAAACGAATTTTTAATTCAGAAATTTCGTTAATCCCGACATCAAATTTCATCAACATTCAACTTACAAGAGCAAAAATATTAAGAGACACTTTCGATAATAACACAGGTTACAATTGGTAAAACCTCATCAACTTTTCTGCGATTTATTTATTGTTGTAATTTAAATAGCGAAATTCATATAAAAAGAAACAAAGACATGAGACTATAATAGTCGTGTATGTAAGCCCTAGTTTATAATAATCGTAATATACTCCTCCATAACCATTTTGTATTAACTTACAGAAATCTCGATAGAGTCAGAATCCTCCTGTGCTCCGATCTTCACTAAACTTAAAGTTTGATCGGTGAGGCATAATCTGTAAGGTCCATGAATGTTCTTCCGTGCCCCTAGACCTTTCTTCTGCATTGTAACTTGCCATATGTGTTCTGCAACAAACAATAAAGAAATAAGTCAATCCTGTTTTAATATCACATTACGCAAATAACATGTAGACTTGATATTCTATCAATTACTTTATTTTAATAAATTAATATATATGTAATATGTGTGAAATTCTAATTGATATACATATAAAACTTCAATTTTATCTCTCTTTTTAATTTCACTTATTACAAATTATTATCATACAAGAAGCTTCAGGACAACTGATTGTGAGTCAAAAATTCGCAGAAATAAAATACTAATACTTGTAGCAAAAGAGAAATTCTTTCGTTTTTATTTCGTGTATGTTATTATAATTCTCGTTCGAGACTCTTTTTCTTTTTATATTCTGTTGTCATCGATAGCGGCCGCACGACCCATCTTTATGAACTTTGTAATATATTTTAATCTTGCAATCATAATAAATATTTTTGTGCAATGAACAAATGTTCAATATTATATAAATATATTTAGTAAATAATATTCGAAAAAAATATCTCTATATAAAGTAATATAAAATTATTTCAGTTTCATTTACATTTGTAGGACAAGAAAAAACTATACTAATAATCAAAATAATTAATAAATAATTTATGCTAAAATTAAAGTTGCATAGTAATATAATAATAGTGCAATATAAAACAAATACATTTTGTATTTAATCTCGTTGTTGCTCGCTTCTTTGTCTTTACTATAAGAACGCAACACAAACAATTGCCAGTTTTATTTTTGTTCCAAGGTTGTAAAATTCGTTCGAAATGTGAAAGTCACAAACAGAGAAAACAATAAAGCATTTCTTTATTGTACTCCGTACTTTTATCTCCGTGTATCTTCATACCAATTTAGATTTCTCACGAAAGCTTACACAACATTGTCTGCAATCTCAATATCACATGTATAAACAAAACGTGTGGATTCTCCTCAAAGACGGTAATTAAAAGAGAAACTCGCATTCTCGAGCACGTCGATTGAAAAGATAAAATGCAAGAACCCCAAAGTCGTCAATTCACTCTGTCGAACGTAAACAAACAAAAACGCGCGCACGTGCGACTTGACATATCTACGATTCTCGTCGCTACAGGTCTCTGCACCGGTCGATATAGGTAAGTGCGCAATAATCTCTCTCGTCACCGCTAAAAATTGATTACCGTCCGCGGAAAACAAGAACGGATTCATATTTTTTCCCGACACGCATAACGTATTTTTACGTAAAAATCTGTATACGAATTTATGCGATTTAAAAATCACGCTCTTGAATAAAAATTGATTTATAGTATTTATTCATTTATAAAAATATCCTTTAGGTAAGAACTCTTAGAAAATGCGCACATTATTGGCCCATATTGGCTGGATAACAATCGAGCGCGATGTGACATTTCGCTGACGGCTGACGGCTGGTACGCACGCGGATCTCGCGTGCACTTTTCATTCGGGCGGGAATTGCGGGAAAAATGCGTGCGAAACTTACCGAATGTAGGCCGTGGCTGTTCCCCATCGGGCACGTCCCCGCTCTGTAGCCTCAGCATCGCCTCGAGCCACTCGTCCAGTTCCTTGTCGCTGTCGAGGATGAGGCAGAAGCACTCGTCCTTGGTGTACAGGGCGATCACGTGCTTGTGCTTGGTATCGCCGCGCTTGTTGATGTTGAAGCAGCTGTGCAGCAGTATACTGCGCTTCGGTGACTGCTTGTTGTCAAACTTCTTCTTAGTATCGTAGTACTCGAGGCAGGCGAGATGTCCGGGGGCCTCGCCGCGCAGGACAAAATACTTCTTCTTCATCGTCTTGAGCTTCTTCAGGTGGCCACAGAGGATGACGGGCCCGCCCGAAAGCGGCGCCGGGCCCTTGACCGAGTACATGGTCGGCGCGACGATGATGATCGTCGTCGGTTACAAAGGGATCTTTCTCGGGTACACGACGAGCCGGGGATCCTTCGTATTCGTTTATCATTCACATGGTATCGTTCCCGCGAGCTTCTCGCTGCCACGTCCTTTCTCCTCCTGCATGCGAGTCGCGTCGCGCGAGCGCGGGCTCTTTTACCGCGAGAAAGAGCGAGAAACACGTGCGCGATCTCAGGGAGAAACCGCGCGGAGATTCATCTCGAGAGGAGGACGAACTCGCGCCAAACGTCCTCTCTATCTTTCGATCGACTCTACTGCGACACAACGCGGTCCGCGCACTTTCGCGGACAAACAACAACAATCCGGCCGTCAACGTGTCAACGCCTCCAGCGTTTTAACTGCGCCAAACCCACGGTGATGTTGTTTTTTTTTTTCCCGCCGACACGGGAAAGATCCTACTCCTCTTGTCGTTCGCTGCGCATCACGATGACGAGGATAGTCACGACGGGAGCGGCCTTGACGCTCTCGCACTTAGCGCGAGCACGTTTCGGGACGTAAATAAGCAACGATGCGCACAAGCAACAGCACCACCGCCGTCGCACCACCGTCGGTGCATGTGCACTTGGCGACGTTCGCCTGAGGGCGTGCTTCGGCGGGCGGGTGGCGTGCGTCGTTTCGCGCTCCTCTGCCTCCTCTCTCTCTCTCTCTCTCTCTCTCTCACACTCTCTTCCTTTTTTTCCTGTTTCCTTCGGCGCGGACGTCCACCTCGCGTCTCGTAGGTAGGTTAGGAGAAACGATAACAATAACAACGGCGAGTGCCACGCGAGAGCAACGGCGACGAGAACAACACAACACACGCTCGATCTTTCCCGCTTCTCTATCTTTCTCTCTCTCTCTCTCTCTCTTTTCCTTCCTTCGTGGACGTTGAGAAACCAAGTAGGGGAGATCCCGCGATCAGCGCCGAACGCGCCCGATGACTCCGAGATGTCGCGACGGCACTCTCTCACTCTCGCTTTGCACTCCCTCCCTTAGTCCGTGTTACTCTCTTTCTCTCTTTCTCTATGTCTCGGCACGCCTCGAATCCACCTGTCACGCGCGGTTTCGTCTAATTTCGCCCGCCGCGACGCGCCGAGAGAGCTGCCCGCGCGCACCAACCGTCCGAGGCTTCTTCAACGGGACGTGATCGTTCACTCGCACGCGTTCCACGCGCGAGAATAAAATTCGCCAGTACGATTCGCGAATGGTACTGATCTCGCTCGAGGAATTTGCGACGCGGACGACCCGAATCCTCCGCCACGAGGTACGGCCGCGAACGGATAAACGGGAGAGTCTCCTCTGCACCTGTTTATCTCTCTCTTCGAATAACACGATTTACTGCGTGGTCCACGACGGTGACGTGTATACACAAGAGTGCGCGCGCGTATTCATCACGCATGCACATACGGGACACACATACACGCGCGTTCGCGCGCGCATACAGAGCGACAGAGACAGAGATGATGGATTGATGGATGGATGGATGGATGGATGGATAGATGGATGGATGAGAGGGCGAATGAGATTTAAAGTTTGGCGAGTATTTCAAATGCGGATGCGACGTCGACCAGTAGATGTAGTCGTCGCCCTTCTTATCCAGGATCACGGGCTCGTCGGGAGTCAACGAGTGCCCGTATCGCGAGACGGTGCTCTCTTCCAGGATATTCTCACCGCAATCTTCCATGGAGGGCGACGATCCGGCCGAGTCCGATGAGCACACGTCGGAACCGGGACTGATGGGCATCGAAGCGACCGGCGGGGAGTACGATGTACGTCCACACATGGAATGTGGTCGCGGAACATGAGGAATGGCATGAGTCCCTCGGAGATTGTTCAACCCCGTAACCGTGGCCATCGGTTGTCCCTCGCTGTTGGTGCGAGCTCTCGATGGCAAACTGTCGCATCGTTCGCGCCCGGTGTTACCTGTAAATGTACTCATCAGTATCTCCTAGCGGTAACTCGCTCGCGTGCACGTATAGTAGAAAAAAAAAGAAGAAGCCAAGTTTCATCGTCCCAGCATAGCAGCGGTGGTTAGTTTTTCATATGTTTACATATATAAATTACTATACGACATACAACATATCGAAAGATTGTTTGCTGTTAAGTATAATATGTATTCTCTCGAGAATCAAGCAATCGATAGAGATCACGTGGTGATCATCTCGTTAAATATCCCGCATTTGTAGAACTGTTATGTGAAAATAAATAGGTGAAGAGCATACCAAAAGAAATTATAGTAATTAGTTTCCGCGGCGATTGACACCCAAATATCAACAATGTTGCGCATCCATATAAAATGTATCCATTCTTTTTAAATTCCGATAATGTGAATAAATAAAAAATGCAAACCAAAGCTTCGTAAATATATCGTGCATTTAATAGCATGCCACCACAGCAAAACTGTCCACTCGTAAGTATTACTGCGAGTTTATATTAAATAAATTTAACATCGATCGATCGGATTTTATACACCTTGAAAATATTGCGGGAAAAGGATCAAGATAACGAAAAGAGCATAACAAGCATATTACAGGAACATCGAGGAATTCAAACAGACTCGGCTCGATTATAAACAAATATGACGGAACGAAATACATACACCGTAAAACGGATCTTTTAGATGGTTGCGTTTGACTGATAATAACAGCAGCTAAGGGCAGCGACAGGGTTCTCTGATGGGATATTGTCGCGGTTGTGGTCATTGCGGTGATGGTGATGGTGGTGTTGATGGTAGTGGTGGTGATGGTAGTGGTGGTTGCGGTGATGGTGGTGGTAGTGACAGTGGTGGTGATCGCGTTTGTTGTTGCTGCTGTTGTGACATGAGCGGATTGGGAATTATTGATGGAATGAGGATGACTCGCTACCGAATGACGACGTCTAGTGGTACCGCCACTGTTGGCATTAGTCGTCACGTGCCCAGTAGTCCCAGCCCCGGTACCAGCAACGGCTGCAAACCACACATCTCTCACTATCACACAACTGTCTGTTTTGTCTTACGCGCATCTCGCGCCGCATCTCTCGACGAATACGACACGGATTTATGTTAATCGTGTTGTTAAGCGCATGAATCTTTTACGCAATGACGCGTTCTATTTTAAAAATCTTTCAATTAGACGCATGACTTTAATATGTTGAATTGCAATAAAACACGTGTCGATAACATCAAAAAATGATAATAAAGCGCATACTGATTGAGTTATCTTTCTTTCTTTCTTCATTATTTCAACAAATTGTTATATATATATATTATTTATGATATCTGATACATCGAATAATTTATAAATTCCAGATAATTCATTGACTGTATTAGTCATGCTATTTACATCATGAAACTGACATTCGGAGAACGATGCATAATTATCGCGTATGTCGGCCCAGATTTTCCCTTCTAACACGATTAAACATTGCATTTATATAAAAATTTATATAAAAGTCTATCTACAACTCATGATAAAAAATTTGCTCTGTTTTAAATATATTTAATATCAATATTAATTATAAAAGTTATTAAGAAAATATCTTTTACATATCTTTTATATATTAAACACTTAATAATTTTTTTTTAATCCTGCGCTCATTATTTTATCATATAACAATTGTGATCTCACAATTTCAATCAATTATGTATATATTGCAACTGTATATACGATATAGATGCAAAATCTAGTATCTCAAAATTATATAAAGTGAGAAATGCAATGATCAAGTCTTTAGTTCTATATTCCATGAAATGAAATAAAAAGTCGAAGAAAAATAAATGGCATGTTTACACACTACTCTTATATATCCTCTTTGCCATTCAAAAATCCATAGAACGTGAAAGGAGGAAAGCAGATAACTACTATGATAGATCTGTGACTGTATTGGTGAAAAAGGTATTCCGAGATTGATTACAGTGTATAGGAAAATAGAAAATAGCGATCTGCTCTTGCAACGGTTCCACTTGCTCCTTGTATGTTCTCTATAAACACCGTAAACTCACTTTATTACTCTAAAGCCGAGCTCTTTGTGTACACACGACAAGATTTACCCGGTTCTTTATATAATTTAACATATGCATGTACAGTTATGGTAATAACAATGTGTTAAGAATTGTGTATGAAATTAATGTTTGAATAAAACTTACTTGTGTAAAACGGATTTATGGATAGACGCGAATAATTTGTCCATTCAAACAAACTAAAAGCCAATATATCTCTTTGATGAAGTCTGACTTATAGATGGACATATAATAATTGATGTTTTTCAAGCATACGTAAAAATCACATTACGATAAGTATAAATAAATAGTAGTAGGAGAAACTCTTTATAATGACCAATAACCCACACATCCTGGAGTAAATCACATTGGATAAACTATGTATATGTACAAGAAAAACGGACTCACACAAAATCATAGCTTACCCATAGGCGAATAGCTATAACCGAATTTCTGACCCGTATGCCGTCGTTGGAGAACGGATATAGGTTTGCTGGCTTCATTGGCGGAGGAACTTCTCTGACGAGGTTCCATCTCGTTATCCTTGTCCTTGTTATCTTTCTCCTTGTTATCCTTGTCCTTGTTATCCTTTTCCTTGTTATCCTTGTCCTTGTTTTCTAATAACCTTAACTTCCACCTTGTCTTGGAAGTCTTCATTGCGGTCGTTATTACATCGTTCATGTTTAACGCGATATTGTTATCTTCGACTGCCATCCAGAATTCACCGTCTCCGGTTACGGCAGATCGGCCAACTTCTATGTAGAATATATCATCCGCGAATCCACATCGTCTAATGTAATTTAGCTGCAAGGATAGAGAAAACGAATTTTTAATTCAGAAATTTCGTTAATCCCGACATCAAATTTCATCAACATTCAACTTACAAGAGCAAAAATATTAAGAGACACTTTCGATAATAACACAGGTTACAATTGGTAAAACCTCATCAACTTTTCTGCGATTTATTTATTGTTGTAATTTAAATAGCGAAATTCATATAAAAAGAAACAAAGACATGAGACTATAATAGCCGTGTATGTAAGCCCTAGTTTATAATAATCGTAATATACTCCTCCATAACCATTTTGTATTAACTTACAGAAATCTCGATAGAGTCAGAATCCTCCTGTGCTCCGATCTTCACTAAACTTAAAGTTTGATCGGTGAGGCATAATCTGTAAGGTCCATGAATGTTCTTCCGTGCCCCTAGACCTTTCTTCTGCATTGTAACTTGCCATATGTGTTCTGCAACAAACAATAAAGAAATAAGTCAATCCTGTTTTAATATCACATTACGCAAATAACATGTAGACTTGATATTCTATCAATTACTTTATTTTAATAAATTAATATATATGTAATATGTGTGAAATTCTAATTGATATACATATAAAACTTCAATTTTATCTCTCTTTTTAATTTCACTTATTACAAATTATTATCATACAAGAAGCTTCAGGACAACTGATTGTGAGTCAAAAATTCGCAGAAATAAAATACTAATACTTGTAGCAAAAGAGAAATTCTTTCGTTTTTATTTCGTGTATGTTATTATAATTCTCGTTCGAGACTCTTTTTCTTTTTATATTCTGTTGTCATCGATAGCGGCCGCACGACCCATCTTTATGAACTTTGTAATATATTTTAATCTTGCAATCATAATAAATATTTTTGTGCAATGAACAAATGTTCAATATTATATAAATATATTTAGTAAATAATATTCGAAAAAAATATCTCTATATAAAGTAATATAAAATTATTTCAGTTTCATTTACATTTGTAGGACAAGAAAAAACTATACTAATAATCAAAATAATTAATAAATAATTTATGCTAAAATTAAAGTTGCATAGTAATATAATAATAGTGCAATATAAAACAAATACATTTTGTATTTAATCTCGTTGTTGCTCGCTTCTTTGTCTTTACTATAAGAACGCAACACAAACAATTGCCAGTTTTATTTTTGTTCCAAGGTTGTAAAATTCGTTCGAAATGTGAAAGTCACAAACAGAGAAAACAATAAAGCATTTCTTTATTGTACTCCGTACTTTTATCTCCGTGTATCTTCATACCAATTTAGATTTCTCACGAAAGCTTACACAACATTGTCTGCAATCTCAATATCACATGTATAAACAAAACGTGTGGATTCTCCTCAAAGACGGTAATTAAAAGAGAAACTCGCATTCTCGAGCACGTCGATTGAAAAGATAAAATGCAAGAACCCCAAAGTCGTCAATTCACTCTGTCGAACGTAAACAAACAAAAACGCGCGCACGTGCGACTTGACATATCTACGATTCTCGTCGCTACAGGTCTCTGCACCGGTCGATATAGGTAAGTGCGCAATAATCTCTCTCGTCACCGCTAAAAATTGATTACCGTCCGCGGAAAACAAGAACGGATTCATATTTTTTCCCGACACGCATAACGTATTTTTACGTAAAAATCTGTATACGAATTTATGCGATTTAAAAATCACGCTCTTGAATAAAAATTGATTTATAGTATTTATTCATTTATAAAAATATCCTTTAGGTAAGAACTCTTAGAAAATGCGCACATTATTGGCCCATATTGGCTGGATAACAATCGAGCGCGATGTGACATTTCGCTGACGGCTGACGGCTGGTACGCACGCGGATCTCGCGTGCACTTTTCATTCGGGCGGGAATTGCGGGAAAAATGCGTGCGAAACTTACCGAATGTAGGCCGTGGCTGTTCCCCATCGGGCACGTCCCCGCTCTGTAGCCTCAGCATCGCCTCGAGCCACTCGTCCAGTTCCTTGTCGCTGTCGAGGATGAGGCAGAAGCACTCGTCCTTGGTGTACAGGGCGATCACGTGCTTGTGCTTGGTATCGCCGCGCTTGTTGATGTTGAAGCAGCTGTGCAGCAGTATACTGCGCTTCGGTGACTGCTTGTTGTCAAACTTCTTCTTAGTATCGTAGTACTCGAGGCAGGCGAGATGTCCGGGGGCCTCGCCGCGCAGGACAAAATACTTCTTCTTCATCGTCTTGAGCTTCTTCAGGTGGCCACAGAGGATGACGGGCCCGCCCGAAAGCGGCGCCGGGCCCTTGACCGAGTACATGGTCGGCGCGACGATGATGATCGTCGTCGGTTACAAAGGGATCTTTCTCGGGTACACGACGAGCCGGGGATCCTTCGTATTCGTTTATCATTCACATGGTATCGTTCCCGCGAGCTTCTCGCTGCCACGGCCTTTCTCCTCCTGCATGCGAGTCGCGTCGCGCGAGCGCGGGCTCTTTTACCGCGAGAAAGAGCGAGAAACACGTGCGCGATCTCAGGGAGAAACCGCGCGGAGATTCATCTCGAGAGGAGGACGAACTCGCGCCAAACGTCCTCTCTATCTTTCGATCGACTCTACTGCGACACAACGCGGTCCGCGCACTTTCGCGGACAAACAACAACAATCCGGCCGTCAACGTGTCAACGCCTCCAGCGTTTTAACTGCGCCAAACCCACGGTGATGTTGTTTTTTTTTTTCCCGCCGACACGGGAAAGATCCTACTCCTCTTGTCGTTCGCTGCGCATCACGATGACGAGGATAGTCACGACGGGAGCGGCCTTGACGCTCTCGCACTTAGCGCGAGCACGTTTCGGGACGTAAATAAGCAACGATGCGCACAAGCAACAGCACCACCGCCGTCGCACCACCGTCGGTGCATGTGCACTTGGCGACGTTCGCCTGAGGGCGTGCTTCGGCGGGCGGGTGGCGTGCGTCGTTTCGCGCTCCTCCGCCTCCTCTCTCTCTCTCTCTCTCTCTCTCTCTCTCTCTCTCTCACACTCTCTTCCTTTTTTTCCTGTTTCCTTCGGCGCGGACGTCCACCTCGCGTCTCGTAGGTAGGTTAGGAGAAACGATAACAATAACAACGGCGAGTGCCACGCGAGAGCAACGGCGACGAGAACAACACAACACACGCTCGATCTTTCCCGCTTCTCTATCTTTCTCTCTCTCTCTCTCTCTCTTTTCCTTCCTTCGTGGACGTTGAGAAACCAAGTAGGGGAGATCCCGCGATCAGCGCCGAACGCGCCCGATGACTCCGAGATGTCGCGACGGCACTCTCTCACTCTCGCTTTGCACTCCCTCCCTTAGTCCGTGTTACTCTCTTTCTCTCTTTCTCTATGTCTCGGCACGCCTCGAATCCACCTGTCACGCGCGGTTTCGTCTAATTTCGCCCGGCGCGACGCGCCGAGAGAGCTGCCCGCGCGCACCAACCGTCCGAGGCTTCTTCAACGGGACGTGATCGTTCACTCGCACGCGTTCCACGCGCGAGAATAAAATTCGCCAGTACGATTCGCGAATGGTACTGATCTCGCTCGAGGAATTTGCGACGCGGACGACCCGAATCCTCCGCCACGAGGTACGGCCGCGAGCGGATAAACGGGAGAGTCTCCTCTGCACCTGTTTATCTCTCTCTTCGAATAACACGATTTACTGCGTGGTCCACGACGGTGACGTGTATACACAAGAGTGCGCGCGCGTATTCATCACGCATGCACATACGGGACACACATACACGCGCGTTCGCGCGCGCATACAGAGCGACAGAGACAGAGATGATGGATTGATGGATGGATGGATGGATGGATGGATAGATGGATGGATGGATGGATGGATGGATGGATGGATGGATGGCCAGCGAACCAGACAGACGGACAGACGGACAGACGGACGAAGAGCGCGATACGCGGGCTAGCGCGCGCGCGTGCACGGCTCACGAAAGGACAGGAGGGGAAGGGGCAAAAGAGGCACCGCTGGTAGCAGGGAGGAAAAGGAAGGAGGGAGGGGGAAGGGGAAAGAGGGATTCACGGCGAGGCGTGTTCTCTCTCTGGTCGCGAGCAAGCGCGCGCGTCCCGATCGCGACGGCGTTTCGAGGAAAAAACCCGCGACGGACAGACAGACAGACGGTGGCGCGTGGATGGGCGTCTCGGCCGAA